ATTAGATATTAATTAGTTATATTTCTCTTAATCTTATTTCTGCTTTGACTGGGCTATAATATCAAGCTGCCACTATGATCAATTCTGGTGTAAAAAGAAGGAAAATCCCTTGTGATATGGTGTATATTGTTGTGCGCAGCGGAAATTTCAGTAGAGTTTCTGGTGCACAATAAGAGAGAAAGATCAATAAGAATTCTTGTTTCTCAAAAGGAACAAGAATCTGAAGCCTAATATCCCATCAAAGTGGGATATTAGCTCTTCCTCTCGTCAGCTCTAGGACTGCGCGTCGAGGGATCCTAAAAACTATTACAATGGCCACAAACTCAAACAACAAATTTTACGTGGTTCGGCAAACTGCCTACGTCCACGGGGCAAGGAGGGGGAGATCAAGAGAATACAAATAGGGTTTACAATCTCTCAAATTTAAACCCACAAATAATCTCTCAAACCTCTCATACGAAAAACTCTCTCAAAAGAATGCAAAAACCCCTCTCAAATTCGGCTCTACTTTTCTCTCTCAACACAGCCGCCTTTTCTCTGCTTTTGCACTCTGCACACAGCAGCTTTTTCTCCCCTTTTCGTACTTGCACACCTGCCTCCTTTTCACCCAAGAAACCCTAGGACAAAAGTCCTTTTTATAGGCTGCAGGCTATGTAGGCAATCGGGTGGGCCTTGTCCAAAAAACCGAAGCTAATCACAAGTGCCTCTCAAAAATCCGCTGGACATTTTCAATTCTCCAAAGCTTGTGGCCCCCACAAGCATCTCTTCACGTGGTTTTCAAAAAACCTTAGCCACTTATCACTTTACATGGTAGCTTACTGTACTCGTGTGGCCCCACAAGCATGCCTCCAACAATTCTCCACCTCGGTGAAGTTTTCTCAAAACTGAGCCGACACCAAAGCATCCAAATGTCCCACTTGTTGTGACCAGTAAGAACTCAATCCACAACAAGTCGAGAACCCGAACGAGAGTCCCAACAATCTCACCCCCATCAAACTCAACTAATCCAAAACCGGCTGCATCTGAAAGACTGCCTACGTATCCTCTTGTCCAAGGAATCAAGCCAAACGTAGTTCACCCAAATGGCCGCGAACGACCTCAATCAACTAGAAGAGTTCGCAACCCTTCTCCAACATCACGATCAAGTCTACAGCTGATAGCTCCTCCAATGGCCTCAAATACCTCCACCTGAGGTGAACCAATGACCATATCCAAACTATGTCTACCAGCTACACTCGAATCAATCAACTCATCATCCGCATCCGAATTCAAATGACTCCCACGCTGTGTCACCTCAGCTGGAATCCCAACCAATGCAGAATGACCTGGAGTATGTGGAAAAATCCCCACCCAATATGAAGTAGCATCAATCTCCACCCGCTGCGACACCTCTAAGGTCTGTCCAAAACTCTCCACTTGCTGAGAGTCAATTGGCTTCCTCATCGAAGCCTCAACCAAAGTGACACTACCAGACCTATCTTCCAATGGAGTTTTACCTCCAATCACAGCAGTTGACAACTCTTCAATAGGATGACTCAAATATGTCGAAGCCTCAGTCCAGAAACTCTTCTGCAAACCATTGCTCGACCACCAACACCGTTCCTCCTCCAGCAAGGCACGGTTCTCCAAATTTGTCACCCTATCTAGTTGCCCCAAGATTTCCTTTCCAACAAAGTGTCTCGAAATGCCGTGAGCTCTGCTCCAATGCAGAAACAGGTCCATCTTGTACCTCCCATCAAAACCAGAATGGAGTACCTTCACCTTTCTGTCTATCACACACTTCTTCAATCTGTTGGATACTACTAGGACTTTCTCCAAAGGGGATTTGGTTACAACCCAAACACGCCTAGAACAGCCACCAACAAAGGAAACCAAACTTCGATTACCTCCCAATGATGCCCCTTTGGAAGGCCCCCAAACATCCACGTGAACTCCTCTAGAACGACACTTAACTCGGTGAATAGAGGTGTCAAACTTCACCTCGGTCTTCTTGCTCACATCAACATGTTCACTGAACTTTAAATTGCAGGTCTTTACACCCTCTTTCAATCTATGCGAGGAATCAATACTGGAATGGCCAAGCCCCAAATGCCGCAGTCTAGTCGAATCAACAGAAGTCGCCAGTTCTCCACCTGTCACTATACCTCTAGTCAAGTAATACATGTTATTCCTCCTGACGCCCTTCATCACAATCCGAGAGTCTTCCACAATCTTGAGAACCATGTCCTCAATTCGAACATTCAGATCATCTCCAACCAAACCTCCAATTGAGATCAAGTTCTTCCTCAAAGAAGGAACATATCTCACATCATTTAACTCCCTAACAGTCCCGTCAAACATTTTTATGCTAATTCTTCCTATCCCAAGGATCTGACATGCACGGTTATCAGCCATGTACACCACACCACTATCTACCAGCTTCTCAAAACTAGAGAACCATTCCCTTCTAGGGCACACATGATAGGTCGCACCACTATCCAACATCCATTCAAATTCCTCCGAATAGCTATCTGTAGGACTGATAGAAAGCGAATAAATAGAAGAGTCAGAATTATTACCATCCGATACGATGTTTGCTTCTGATGATGGTTGCTTCCCTTTTCCCTTCTGCTTATTCTTCATCCATTCGTCGAGCTTTGGGCAGTCTTTCTTCCAATGACCAGTCTCCTTGCACCAAGCACACTGATCTTTTCCAACTGTAGGATGCCCTACTCTAGACTGTGACTTCCAATTCTTTCGGTTTGAACTCTTCCCTCTTGCGACCAACGCCTCTGCTACCGGCTCAACTGAAGCCTCATTATCCTTCTTTCGAAGCTGATAATTCACTAGTGCAGCAGTGACCTCAATATACGAAAGGGATGCCTTCCCATTAATCAGAATAAGGACGAATGTCTCATATTCCTCGTCTGGCAAGGAACTCAGCAACAGCAACGCCTTGTCCTCATCTTCAATTATGACATCCACATTCGCCAAATCCGCAAGAAGCTTTGTGTAGGTGTTCATGTGATCTCTAATTGAGGTTCCCTTCTTTCAACTGGAAACGATAAAGTCTCCTCTTCAAATGCAAGCGGTTCTCAACACTCTTTATCAAATACTTGCTTTCGAGAATCTCCCAAATCTTCTTTGCAGAAGTCTCATTCATCACATCATATTTTAGATCTTGAGTCAAACAAGACTTAATCACACCACACGCCATTCGATTCATTTTCTTCCAAACCTTCTCTTCAATCTCATCTGGCTTGCCATCTAACTCTAAGGTATCCTTCAAATTCTGCGCGTTCAGCGCATCCAAAACCTCGCATCTCCATAATCCAAAGTTGTTTGTGCCATTAAATTTCTCCACATCTATCTTCATAGAGTGGATATTCAAACTCTGAATGGTCTTCGCACCAGAAGCACCACCCTCGACACCCGAAGCACCTTCTTTCCCCGACATCTTTCTCAACGCACCAACGAACGAAGAATAGATCCAAAACTGAAAAGATAGAGTCTTTACCAAAAGATCCAACCTTTATCACCAAACGAAACCCTAGACGAGCCTCCAAATTGATCTACTCCTCCAAATAGCCCAAGCCTAGCCCGAGCTCTGATACCACTTGTTGTGCGCAGCGGAAATTTTGGCAAAATTTCTGATGCACAATAAGAGAGAAAGATCAATAAGAATTCTTGTTTCTCAAAAGGAACAAGAATCTGAAGCCTAATATCTCATCAAAATGGGATATTAGCTCTTCCTCTCGTCAGCTCTAGGACTGTGCGTCGAGGGATCCTAAAAACTATTACAATGGCCACAAACTCAAACAACCAATTTTACGTGGTTCGGCAAACTGCCTACGTCCACGGGGCAAGGAGGGGGGTCTACTAATAGAGGGAAAGAGAATACAAATAGGGTTTAGAATCTCTCAAATCTAAACCCACAAATAATCTCTCAAACCTCTCATACAAAAAACTCTCTCAAAAGAATGCAAAAACCCCTCTCAAATTCGGCTCTACTTTTCTCTCTCAACATAGCCGCCTTTTCTCTGCTTTTGCACTCTGCACACAGCAGCTTTTTCTCCCCTTTTCGTACTTGCACACCTGCCTCCTTTTCACCCAAGAAACCCTAGGACAAAAGTCCTTTTTATAGGCTGCAGGCTATGTAGGCAATCGGGTGAGCCTTGTCCAAAAAACCGAAGCTAATCACAAGTGCCTCTCAAAAATCCGCTGGACATTTTCAATTCTCCAAAGCTTGTGGCCCCCACAAGCATCTCTTCACGTGGTTTTCAAAAAACCTTAGCCTCTTATCACTTTACATGGTAGCTTACTGTACTCGTGTGGCTCTCACAAGCATGCCTCCAACATATATAACGAGTACATACGGCTTCTAGCTGCCATTTTGTATTGGTTTGTGTAACACGTCGCCCATCTAATTTGTAACTATGTTACATTATTAAAAATCCATGAAGAGTAAATTAGGAAGTCCAATCCTCTTTGTGATGATGACCTTCTAAAACCTCATGTATATAACAGCCGTAACTGATTTTATAGATGCAAAGAGCTATAGCTACAGAGAGTAACTTCCTACGGAATTTGGTGAATGATAACGCACGATCTCATAAAAGGGTCGTTCAAGACATTATCGGATGTCTATGCTGACATAACTGTTTTCAGCTATCGAAGTGTACAATATTTAACACCCCCCTCAAACTACAATTGGACTTGAGATTGCTTCTATTGCACTTTAGATCGACTACCAAGTAAGAGGTGAGGAACGCATTTGTTCGCACAAGAAGATGCGGTAAATATTAAGGTATATTTAGGGCTGTGAGTTGTAAAATATAGAACATCTTCATTTAGGAAACTCTACCACTGCATTTTTGTCTTCAAACTCAACCACCTCTACTACTGCTAAAAATTATCTGATTTCAGGCAATCAAAATGTGACATATAAGAAGCTATGGTTGTTCGCTTGATATCTCAAGTACTATTTTTCACTAATAAATGGCATCAATTGGGGTGTAGTCTATTCAGAATTATTCATTCACTTTTCTTCACTATAAAAATATTGCCTCACCTCTGATGCGTCTCACCCAGAGAGGAGTAAAATTCATTTGCTCTTAATAGAAAGAAAAGCAAGATTATTTACATGAAGATTCGGCCATCAGCTGTACAATACAATTGACATGTAATCTAAATACATACAAAATACCTTCTCCTTTGTTTTTCTGTGTCGCTCTTCAAGGAAGCTTCTGTCGTGCTCCTATTATTTTCATTCAAAGGGCAGATCAGAAGTTGAGGTAGATACAATTCCAGAAGCCTCAAGTACATAGCTTGATACTGCATCAAAACATAAAGGCTTAAAAATAGACATTATCCTTTTGCCCCACCAAGATCTATAAGCATACGCTTTGTCTTTGTCTAAGGTATGATGATATAAAAGGATTTTCGACTAACATTAATAGGTTCCATGTATCTTCCATAAGATCATGTGGGTATAAATGAGGTATATATGTTACACATGTAGCTTAGTTTATTATGATTTGTGTTTATACTTCACATGTATCTATTATGCTTCCCACAATGTTGGTAATGTCTTGAAAATATCAAAAAGCCTATAAGAAGATACAGCTCATCATATCTTCTATCTACTTCCTTTTGGTTTTATTAATTATGAATTGCCACCAAATATGATCAATAACACAATTCACCGTACAGTTCAGCACTTCATAGCATATATGCGAAATTTGGTCCCACCAAATGTGTGGAACCTTCGCATCTACATAGTATAGGTGCTTCTATCATGAAGTCGTAGCCATACACTCCTGAGAACCCAACACAATTGGCAACGGTAATGGACCTTCCTTGGCTATGTGCATCCACTTAATCACATACATGTTTTAATTTAAAACACCGACATACACTTCATGCACATATATCCTATACTTCACACACACTTCCTTTTTTATATTAAATATTGAGATATCTAATTATTTTCATCTACACACCAAAAACTATAGTGGAAAATGCTATAAAATTTGACTTTGTATAAAAGTAAGTTTATACTTCTTAACATTTTGTATAAAGTTAAAAAGCAAAATTATATTTCTTTTGAAAAGCCATCAAAATGTATGATTTCATTTTGAGAATATATGATAATTCAAACTATTAGCATTCATGTATCAGCATTATTTATATCATGTTGTCGGGTCATTGTGTCAGAAATTTGAATAACTGTCATGTGTGTCCATGCCGCTTAGCTTTACAAGAAATATTAAGCCGGCATAGTAACTCGATGACTGTTTAATAAGAAAAAACTTCCAACTGTTGAGTAATGGAGATGTTTAAAATGTCTGTATCCAGGGTAATACTGTTTTAAACCCCCACAAACTTTCAGTGATTTGTAGCAAACTCCCCAATAACTTTCAAAATCGCACTAATCCCCCAATAACTTTAGGCATTGCAAGAAACCCTCAATAGGTTTCTACGCTTTGTAGATAACTCCAACAATTTTGAACTTAAAAACAAAATAAAAAGACATTTTGAAAGTCATTGAGGTATAGTGTAATTTACCCAAAAGATGTCGTCGGAGATTTTATGCAAAAAGTTATTGGGGGGTTCAGTGTGCGATTTTAAAAGTTATTGCGGGTTTATGCGAAATGCTGAAAATGCTTGGGGGTTTAGTGTAATTGACCCAGCTAACTACAAAATGAATCCTTTTGCTTATTGAAAAAGACTATAAATGACTAATTTGGAAAAATAATGAGAGCCTATCTCTCAAGAACTACTGTCAGAGAACAAAAGATGACATGCAAAGATTTCATATGGAAATGAATATTTTACATCAAAATGAAGATGCTAACACATACCAGAGTTTTGCTGACAAATGAATAATCTACCAACATAAGCTTGTATGTGGTAAAATGCTTTTTTCGGTTCATCTAGATGCATGACAAACTGGTCCTCGTTAAGAATTTGAGATGCAAATGATCGACATCCGTCTCTTCAATGATAACAATATTTGGAATTATCTTCACTGAAATTACCCTAGGATTCACTGAGGCAGTGCAAAGACCATGCCAAAAGCCGAATTCACAGGAACAGACTTTTGGTCTTCTTGCACACTCCACAGACCAAACACATCGTTAGGCAATACTTCATGGCCAACAACAGTAGTACTTGGGGTATATGGTTTAGGCACTTTTCTTTTCTGGAGTACCTGCAACAGGCAAAACATAGTGTTAAGTATGATGCACATGGTTAATGCTCAAATGTGGGCCAGAATAGAAATTATTACTTTTGAGGAATTTGGTCCATAAGTTTGTAGTGTTTGCTCGATAGATGAAAAGATTTCAATTGCTTGGTGAGATCCACGGATGCATTTAACAACACGAGCATTTTCTTTTGACTCAGGTAACCTAGTTTGCACGTACAAGATAAGCCTTGAAGGGGGTGATCCTGGAAAATCTTTCTTTCCGTGTGTCAATTCCATTGTGGCTAGGTTTTCTAACAGAACATCCCACAACACTGAACATGGATCTCTTGCTGGATTGAATTGTCTTTGGGCCACTAGATTTGTTGGTTGCTGGAAAGAAAAATGAAATGAAAATAGTGCCTTCAAGTTTCTGACAGAAGTCGCAAGTGAAGAAATTATGAAAAGTTTGATGTTGACTTACTTGCAGTAACAAAATTCTACGATGGGTTAGAAGAAAGATCTTTCCCTTTGGTATCAAAAAGTGATCTTCATATGCATCTGATAACGCAAACTTTCCTCGAACCTTAAAGAGATCAACCTGGCCAAAAAAGGTACCAGATTCTGCCAGCTGCAATATTACCTTTACATAATAATAACAGTATATTAGATAGTACCAAACTTTTCTAGAGATAAAAGCATACAACTAGGTTGAATTGAAACCTGCAGAAAATTTAAAACTACTAAGGCCATGAACTACTTAGAACATTCAGTCAACTTTAGAAGCAATAAAAACAATTTCTTTTTTTTTACTTTAATTGAAGTTTAGTAATTTCTGATGCAGGGTGTCCATAATTGTTAGTAATTAGAATTGATAGGAATTAAAATCAGAGTAATTAGAATTGATAGGAATTAGAATCAGAAATCGACGGCAGAACCCTGTTGATCTTTATTACTTATACTATTATGGTTTTAAAACACGCAACACATTTAAAGAATATACTAAATATATCTCAGCATATTGCCTTATTCTCTCAATATATCCCTAACATTTGTCAATCAATATATTTCTGACTTATCATTCCTAATATACTAATATATCTCTAGCACAAATATCATTTCTTCAGATATTTTCGAACACTCCAGCTCAAGCTGGAGCAAGTATATCATATATGCCTAGCTTTCTACAAATATAACACACTTTTCAAAAATTAGTTTGTGACAAAGGCTCAAAATGCTCGAGGCTTCTGCACAACATTTTTAACAGAAGCAATGAAAAATTGTCTCCCCTTGGAATTTGATATCTTAACTTGATCATCCTCCGCAATCACCTTAATAAAGAAAACTCACTCTACTACCACTACCAAAATAACCAAACGTAACACATTGACATCTGCTTGTCCGTCTCCCTTGGACAAATAAAGTTGACTCCTGACAGCTGACGCATCTATGATACAAACTTTTGAAGAACATTATCACGAACCATTAAGATCTTCCCTGTAGACCTATAAATTAATTGAACCAATCCTCTTCTTTATATGCTTTTTCAAATCTCCCAAATTGGAATCATTTCAAAACATATATGCCATGGTTTTACGAAACTGATCCTTTCCATGAAAACCCAAATCAACTAATCCTCCTCCCATTGTTTCCATCCTGCAAATCAACAAAACTCTACATTAAGTGCCTTCTTAATGGGCCGAAACCTGTATTAACATTGTGTTATCTTCTTTTAGGTCCTGTCACTTCTTGAGCTACCACTATAATGAGAAAGTATCCACAATAATTAAGGCAGCATATCCTTTGTACCACAAACCAATTATCAATTGCCAACCAGTTCAAAAATTACACATCATTATTGAACTTCCTCTCCTCCCTACGTTCCTCTCCCCTTGTTTCCCATAAAACCCAGCCATCTAATCCAACTCCCAATCTCTTATCAGCACCAATTCCCGCCACAACGATGAAGGATCCAAGTACTTGAGTCAAGAAACTTGGTAGAACATCAAATTTGAATATCAAAAGTACATAATTCTTTGGAATTTCTCAGTTTTCCTCACTTTCAATCGTTAGGGTTTTTAATTACCTGAATTAGCATATTGTAATTTTTTTCCAGGTACCATTTGAGTGTCATCATTGTTCATCCATGATAATCAATTGCTCGAGGACTTCTAGAACTAAAGACCATCATTATTCATCAATGTTCTAGAGTTGGATTTTTTAAAATGGAATTATTTTTTATTTATTTTAGATCTTTTTCCCTGAGAAACAATTCTTGAGAAGCAATAGACAAAAAATTGAACTTCATGCAATCTTTAAATAAAAGAGGGAAAGATATTAGAGTTAATAGCTAGCTGCTCATTTATACAGCTCACCACTGAAGGCTTAACCGTAGGCCGCCGAAGGAAAATGGGCGCCTGCTTTTGGGCCTGAGGTTAGGTGAATGAGGTTGAAGGAAAGTGGATAAAAGGAAGGGAAGAGAGAGAACGAGGTGCCATTTTAATTCACACTTGTCAATTACCAATTGGATAAAGGTATATATGATATGGTACAACTAGTATAACCAATACCTTCTCCATTATAAGACCATCGACTCAAACCACTGCAAAAAAAGTTAGTGCCAGTTTTACACATGATTCCGTAACCCACATTATACACCAATTAACACGTTGATAACTTCCTGATGTGTTACTAAAAAGTATCACACTCATCCTACCTTATATACGCGGTCTCCACCTTGCAGAATAACAATGGTCCATTACAGGATGTTAGGATCACCACTGCATGATCTGGATTATAAAGACGGGTCCTACGGGTGCTAGAGGTGACGCTAGCTTGCTTAGGCGATGTAGCACTCATTTTCACATGACACCTAACTTCACATTACCGCCTAGCTTACGGCTCTGGTAGCATTTATCATGTTCCGGACTGCGAGCTTGTTGGCGCAATGTAAGCTCTTGGATCAACTGAGTGCAACATATCAAACCACTGCCAGAACTGAATAGCCATCGTTACACTTGATTCCCTTCACCCACATTATAAACTCATTAGATAAGTGAGTTATCAAGGCCCACTTTTAAAATATGATGCTGGTGGGATTTGAGCCATGGTTGCTCTATTGACATATAAAAATCCCTCCCAGTGTACCAAAATTCCAGATTTGTGGTGATAGTTGGGGTTAAGTCGCTGGACAGGTCCCAAATATATGAAGAAAATGTCTCCTGTACATCATGATATCTCTTAACTTCGATGATGCATTAGAAGAAATATCCCCTATGCACTGAGTATGTAATTATTCAAGTTTTTGACAGACAACTAGTACATGCATGTCTTAGTGTAGAACTAAATGGAGCGATATGTGTGTGCCAGTACATACAAAGACTTATAGTCACAAAAAAACGAGGGAATAAAAAGTGATGAAGTGTATGTGAATACAATAACATGTGTGCCTTTCACACCATAGAAACAAAAATGAATGGAAATTTGTCTACACAAATATTAAACAATAAATACACTAATATAAAAAACATATCTCACGATCATCTACCTTTCCGCTAATATTGTTGGAAGAAGATGAGGAGAGTAAATATAAAGCCCTCACTCCACCAAACAAAGAAATGAGTTACGGCTAGTTCACAAGACACTAGCAACAAGCATAGAAACAATAGTCTACTTGTGGATAAAATTTTAATATTCCATATACGATCTATTATATCGTACATAATAATCCATATATATGTCATATGATAGCCATTTTTCTACTGCTAGAGTATAAAATTATAACCCTCAATATTCACGACAACCTCAGATTTTGCTCAGCAGAAGGTAATCGTTAATATCATATCAGCACAATGCAGGTTCAAATCTAACTAGCCACAAATATAAAGCGGATTAAAAGAAATGATATTATTGGTAAGTCCAGGTTTTAGCTCATGAAAAGGGCACTCAACCTACGGAAAATGTTAGAATATAAAGGGATCCTTACTACCTCCTAATTGATCATTGTTAACAGTTACATCAAAGATCAGAGGAACCCTTGCCTTTTGTTCCACTGAAACAGAGATACATGGTGAAAGGTATGAACGATAATTGTATCTAATCATCAGTAACAGAAGAGATAGAATATAAACATCTAGAAAAAGAACTGAAGTCTCAATAGTAACTCCTTATATGAGAAAAAGATGGATACAAACAAGCCTGAATAGCACTGGCAAGAGCGAAGTTATGTCATTCACCTGCCCTGTTGCTTTATATTCATCATATGGACGGAGCAAATTATCCCCACCAATTACTCGTGGGAGACGCCTACGAAGCAATTGTTCTTCAGATGTTATTGCTGATGCTATCTTCATTTTCACGGCATTGGCACCTTCAGTAGTTTTAGAAAGAAGATCAAGGACCCCACTCACAGGTTGAGCAGCAGCACCAATAATTCCTTTGCCAACTCCTTGAACAAAGCCCTCAACGCCAGAAGATTTTGCACCCTCAAGAGGCTTTGTTAAGATGCCGGTTACTCCTCTAAAGAAACCTTTTGCAAGAGCCCCACCCCCCTCCCTAATAACATCACCAATATCTTCAACTCCTTTGCTATCCTGAAATACCATTATATAAATTGAAGCTGATAACATGTACAGTGTATAGACAACCCTGATGTTAAAAGACTGACATACTTGTTTTTGTCGGCTCTGAATAAATTTCTTGTCCATGGATAAAGCTGCAACACCTTTACTCATGTTACTAAGTGCACTGCTCGCATTGCCAAGAATGTCAACACCAGAGAGCAGCCGAAGAGGTTGGCTGAGAAGATCTTTTTGAATGTTTGACACTGCACTGCTAATAAGCGCACTTTTACGCATGCAGAGTTCTTCATGAAATCTTTGTGTAATACGCACCTATAATGGTCGTAAAAGTTAGAAACAGTAAATACTGCTCAGGCTCAGAGAGAAATTTCTTGAATGCCTATGACTTGAAAAGGAATTAAATAATTTTTAAATTCCTAATTATAAGGGTTAACATCAAGGTGATATCTGGTTGTACAAGCTTGGTCAAAATTCTCCAGATTATGTTAAGAGCATTAAATTCATCCTTATGACTGACCTCATTTTGATGAGAACAGGTTTGGATGAATCTTGTAATTAAATTAATAATAATGTCCTATAGCATACATTACTGAAACAAGCATATAAACTCCGGAAAGAACTCACCGGCATATGCTCAGTGTTCCCCAAAGCCGTCATCAAAGATGACCAGAATCCAAGAACACCTCTTGGGCGTTGAGCAGGTGACATAGCCATGGTCACTTTGAAACGGATCTCTGAGATATTAAGCAACCTACAGGTTTAAAAGTTACCTTTATACATATCAAAAGTCTAAAATTAAGAACAAAAGGTGATAGTATCATGTAAGAACGAAATAACTCTTCATAAGTACCCGATTTTTATTATTGGATCTACTGAAACAGCAGTAGCTGCACAGCCAAATACACTACTGAATTTTATTTGATCAAACATCTCATGGAGTCGCCAAATAATTGGTTCATGAATGTTAACCAAAAAAGAAGAACTTTCAGGCACCTGTATACAAGAAAAGAACTTCAGTCAAAATTAAAAATTATACAACTAACAAAGACAATAGAAACCTCTTCCAAAACTAAGTACTCAGAGAAAGAATATCAAAGGAAAAACTGAATACCCACTGAAAATATCAAAGTATATATACCTGCAAACCAAGATACGGGTAAACACCAAAGTCTAAGGAATTAGTTTGCATGGTTACAGAGAACTTCAGTATATACTCCAGTTGGTCAGCCATTCTAAGCGGTCCAAACAATACTGGCATGGGAGTGAAAGGTAACTGATTATCAATTTGAATACCATGCAACCGTAACTTGAATCTGCCGCAGATTATCAGTACACAAGTCAGCAGACATTAGCTTTACAATACTTGAAACTTAATGCTAAGACACTGATAAAATCTGGAGAAAGTTCATTAGAAAGTCCAAAAAAAATATTAAGATAATAAAACTTGATAACTTTCTAAACTTGCCTGCTGATCCCAGCATCCAATCCAGATGAATAAGAAATAAGCAGATTTTGAACAGAGAAATATACAATCTCCTCGGGCATGTGATCAATGATAGACAAACCCAGCTCAGCCAGCTCAAAAGTAACATGAAATTCAGTTTCCAAAGCAGGAGATGACTTTTTATAATCATTTTCAGATGATTGAAGTATAGTTGAAGGAACTCTTCTGTGCATTACTGCAGGTATATCATTTTCTGGCATCCAATCACTAATGCGGCAGATCTGTAATTTCCCCTCTTTTAGAACAGTAACTCGTAGAGCTTTTATAGGTCCACAAGCTGCCTCCAACGGCTGATAATCCATAATCTCATTAATGTTGTACTTCTCAGATTTCATGGGGTCCGTTCCATCAGCCAAAACCTCCAATAATTGCCTTCTACCTAAGTCCTCCCAAGCAAATGACGAAGCAGAATTAGGGGGGAGATTTAGCCAGGAGTTGTCTGTCCCACCCACTTGGCGGAAATGAATAGGCAAGAATGTTGAACGATTTTCAATTCTGTTGAAACGAAGGATTATGAAATCAGATATAATTTAACCAAGGTAGAAATCACGCTGAACAAACTGATTTTTCTGTACAAACCTGTAAGGGCTTAAAAATAATGTGGGGTGAATTACAACTTCATACACTGAGCTTTTTGTTCCACCACGCACTTCTACGCTTATATACATTGGATTATTTCCTATATCAGTCTTCATGCAAACACACATCACACCATCAAACTTAATGCTAAATGGTGTACTCCACTTGTATCCATCAAGTCGCAACTGAAGTTAGAGATATACACAGTTATTTCAGAGGTAAAGATGAAGAAAAAAATAATAAGCGATAAAGCAAAAATTCCCCACCTTCAATAGTTCATCTCCTGGACTCGATTTCCATTTTAGCAGCTTTGGAGGATCATTTGGGTGAGACCATTCTACCAACTCAGTGTTATACTGACACAAAGATATGCTGTGTCCAAGCCTATTGATAACTAATGTCTGGGGCAGAAAACGAACAACCTGCACATGGATTTAGTCTACCATTCTAAGAATATTATTGATAAAAAATAACAAAAAGAGTGCATAGCGTTATGTTCACATATGTAGTGGAATCAATAAATTCAGCTGTACCTGCCTACCTTCAAACAAATTCCTATTTTCCTAAAGGTTTGTTAGTATTTGCATGGCCACTCAACATACTAGTATACTACTAAGAATAGGCTGGCGATGTTGACTAAATTGTAACTCTGCTCTGAGAATCTAGAACTGTCTATTCATTATCCTAAAAAAATTTAATCATGTTGCCAATAATAATTAACTCACATGACTAAGGTAAATGACGTAACTCAGCCCCTTAACAACATAAAAATAAGCTACAAATAATGGAGCAGAAATAAATCTAAAGCACAAAGCTGTATACCATATGGGGCCAACAGCAGCTTGTAAAATCTTACAGTGAATTGAGGGAGGCAATAAAGGGTCATTACTGGGTATTGTGATGTGCCTATTCCTAAGGCTTTTCATTAGCTATAATCCAGTTTCAAATGATGGCCACTGTTGATTTCTAACTTCCTATACAGTAATGCTTAATAAGAATTATTTTACAACTTTTTCCACACAATTGTACTAAAATTTTTCTATAGCAGTTCTATCAACATAAGAATCTCCCATAGGATAATCCTAAAGAAAAAGAATCTTCCACATGAAAATCAATACATGATAACATAATTCTACAGTCTAAATAGCAGGTGGGGCAACTACTTGAGAAAAGAACTATTTTCACATGTCAAAAGAGGAGAAAAAAGACAAACCTTTGTTCTGTCAGAAGACACTTTAAGTTGTGCCGATAGGTTAAAGTATGATCCATCAGAGGCAAATGCCTTTACATCTACCCGTTCCTGCACAGGAATAGGATTAGCTTGACACCTACGATATTCAGAATACATTTCAATAACAAACAATTAACTTATGTTGAAGATTTTTCACCTTTCTTTCAAGCTCAAGAAGAGAGATCCCAGCACTATAATATTCAGAATGATAAACAGCTACAGAGATGCCAACACGATTAGCAGAAAAAGAAGCATTGTGAGGAGGTGTTGATGATACTGCGCCTGGATATGTATAATCTTGTGGAGATAACATAACACAATTTGGACCAAACTCCTCTATAACTTCTAATATCTGAAGATTTCTTTTTGAGGTAGAAATTTTCCTTTCCAAAGATTTCGAGCTATTCCTTAAGGCAAATTTTGCAGATTTAACTGCTCTAGATATCATCTGAGAGTCAGTCTCTACAGTATCTGAAGGCTCAACCTCCACTATACGAAAAGACAGAGGTACTGATGAATCATTGCAAATCCAATATGGAACAAACAGCCTAACTGTTTTCGGTGCTGCATCAGTTCCTCCCATGTCATGTTCAACACTCACACGCAACCTCCTGGCACAATATGCACATGAAATGTGACGTCCAAAGACTCCCTAAGAATAATTCAGAGCTTAACTGTTCAAACTTAAAACATTAAATTCCCTACATAAGGCTCTGGCATATTATGTAAATACAATATGGATATGTGAGCATTTGGTCAGGTACAAACCGAATGGCAGGTCATTTGTAAATCAAATGGACTGGAAATACCGAAACGATAATTTGTACTGGTGATATTGAACTTTGAAAGACACTCATCTTAATACAACCATCTAACATCAAAAACACCATCCTTCCAGCATACATTATCCAATGAACAATGATGGACATATATATAACTGGTTTCTTAGCATAGTGGACATCCAACTACATCCAGAAAAACCTTGAAACCAAAAACAGTTGAGCGACAGAATTGGAAACACCAGTTGTAAAGTAAACATGACAGGTTACAATATATGAAAATACGGGAAAAGATGTTCAGATGAAGCGAAAATTGCACTATATGGCTATCAACTTAAGTTTGTAACATGAGTCAGTATCTTAGTCAAGAAGATGGTATTTCACAATTGCATTGAAATAAATTTGTCGATTTGCAGGGACCATATCAACATCCCTAAATAGAGAACGCTACTTAATTAAATCATATTTGATCTCAAAGTTTCAATATTTATAGACAGACATCTTGGTTGTCATCTTATGATGGTTTCTGTAGTGAACTTAATCCCAACAGCTCAGTTTTGCGTGAATGAATGAATAGAGATAAAACATATCTTCCCACGCACAAGGAAACATGGACAATGACATGGGAAAAGAATATGATGCAGTATGCACAGAATTGGTAGATATTATGGGTATTTAGATTTATGAGATATTGTTGAGATATGATTTTATCTCATACATATTTGCAAGATACATCTAATGTCTATTTAAGAGAGTTTAGGGTTAGCTGAATAATGATCTTTGTCTTCTCTCATTTTCTACATAGTATCAGAGCCTACTCGATCCTAGAAACTTCTCTAATCTTTCTGGATTTGGAGGCTATCAAGGGGGCTTTGCATAGTACTCATGCTCCCAACAGCGGCGAGGACATCTTCAACGGCTTCGACATCTTTGATTTTTACATCATTTGTTTACTAAATTATTGTTAAACATCAATAAAAAAAACTCTACCCTTGAAAAACCCTAAACTCAAGAAGAACGAATGACACGGTTCATCACTATACTGTATATCATGAACAGTATCACTCCTCATCATCTTCCGATGGTTGGATGCAAAGCTACATAGTAGATTCTAATGTATCTTCTATTAGCTGACCCGCCTAGGGTTCCTCTCTACTAGCTGACCAGTCTAGGGTTTCTCTCTACTATCTGACCTATCTAGATTTCTTTCTATGATCTGACTTGCGTAGGGTTCCTACTGGATGATCCACCTATGATTTCTACTAGGTGAGGCCACTGGCCAGTGTTGTAAATAGCGCCCGATAGCGGCGCGATAGTGATTGCGGACACATACTGCTAGGCTTTCATGCTAAGCAGTCGACTCTCGCGACCATTTCCACTTTCCGCTCGTAATCGCGGCGAAAACACGTAATAGCGCTTAAAAAGCGCCAATAGCGGCTAAAAAGTGCTTTTAAGCGCTATTTTAAAATAGCGGGTTTAAGTTGAGGGACCCGAAACCAACCCAAACCCGACCCGAATGCACTTTAAACCCTATTCCAATCTATTTCTCTCGACCTCGACTCTTTCCGTCAGCGCCTCGTCTCTCCTCTTAAAAAACCCTAGCCGGTAGTGACCTCTGAGAGCTCCTCCGACAAGTTTCTCCTTCAGTAGTAAGCTTCTCCTTTAGCAGCAAGGTTTTAGCAGTAACCGACAGGAGTTCTCCTCTAGTTTCAGCAGCAGCCGGCTGGAGTTCTCCAGCAGGTCATCTCTCAAGTCTTAAAAGCTCCCGCAGCAGTTGCAGTCCTCCAGCAGTTGTAGTCCTCCAGCAGTCAAGCAGCCATCCAGAAGTCCAGTAGCAGCCCTCGAGCAGCAAATCTCCACCTCAACCACCTCGGAAAATCTCCATTTCATTCCGGTGATGATGATGAGTATGATGAGTGATGATGAGTCATTGCTCGATTTCAGACTTTTGAGTTTGGAGTTTGGAAATGTTCGGGAGTTTGATATTTATTGCTTGTTTAGTATCTATAGACTGTTATTATCTATCATGACGTTATCTTGTTTTGCTTATTTATCTATAGTTGAAGATTTTATTTTTTATATCAAGTTTCTAGTAGTTAGTATAATCATGATGTTACTAATCAATGTTTTTTTATCGTTGAGGATATTTATATTAGAGACTTGAAAGTTGAAGGAGACAAATAATGGTCTTTTTGATAAACATTTACATTTTTTATTCTTTATAGTACTTTGTTAATATTATGCAATTGGTACACATCTATTTTATGCTTAGGATCTTTATAAATTATCAAATATGCCTTTGTAAAACTTTTAGATTTTTTTGTAATTTTTCTTATTTTTTAGAATATATAATAATATAAATATATTTACATTTGACTGCTATTTGACTATATGCTATTTGTCGCTATTTTACCGCTATGGGTGCAAATAGCCTTAGTGGTACCCTGTCACGATGCAATGCAATCCTTTATCAGCAACCTTGGGTGTGGCTACACTTCANTTGTAACAAGATGTACATATATAGTAATATATGCTCCAGTTTGAGGGGGAATGCTAGATATTATTAATATTTAGATTTAGAAGATATTACAAGATATTGTTGACATATTGTGAGATGTGATTAGATATGATTTTATCTCACACTTATTTTGTAATATCCTCCTTACCTCTATTTTAGAGAGGTTAGTGTTAGATGAATAATAACTTTGTCTTCTCTAATTCTCTACAATAATGACACTAAATTTCCTAAAAAATGTAGAACTTGCACTAAAAACATTACGAATTAAAAGTTAGTTGGTCACTTTTAATGAAAAGAAGGCACTAAAAAAAAGATTTTAAGTTAAATAGTTACGGATTTAATATTCAACAAAAAAAAAAGACACCCATATTTCTACTCCCAAGACCCAAAGGTAATACATAAAAGTGAGTTATTCATGGGGGCAAAGCTTAAAAAATCATAGGAGGGCGGTGGATTGGTCGTAGGGGTTTAGTAGTGGAGGCTGGGGGGGGTAGGGCAGATGGCACACAATTATGTAATGTAATAACTTGTAACAGCTTCACCAATATTAATTTATTTTTTCAATTGGCTACAAATAGTGAGTATTTCATCTCGTCCTATTAATCCCTTTAACTCCAATTTAGATTTGTAGAAAAACATGACATTTTAAAGCACTTTATTGTATGAGGTACAATAGAGGAACAAAAGTTTTTTTGATTCTTAGTTATATAATATACGACTAGTAAAAATTACCTTCAGTATCACTACCAATTATTAAGTCAAAACACACTTGGTAATTATATGTTTTATAATCTACAGTAAAACGATTCTTTTGTCAAAAGAGGTTAACCTTCTAGATACCAAAGATCCCTTAATTAGTCCGCGGGCAATGATGGAATTATTTTTCTTGTGGCATATTAATCTTTTAAGTTATTAAAAATTTTACATCATTCACTTGTGTACGCATTCTCATTATAATAAGGGGGTTTTCATTAAAAAACCCGGTTAAAAATAGGTCAAACCGATAGGTACACCTTCAAAAGTTTTTCTATACAAAACCACCTTGTCAATGAGTTCAGCTTTCAAGAAACCATTTTAATACAATTTCTACTCAATTTTATCCAAACTATCCAACATTCCCTTACTACTTCCACCCTCCTTCCTTCTCCCTCCCCATCCACCCCACCTCCATCCCATCTTCGCCCTCCTATCCTCCGATTTATCTCTGTCCTCCTCCACCCATGCTCCTTCCTCCTCCATCTACCCTCCTCTGTTCACTGTCGCCACATCTACTCCCTCTTCCTCCTTTCTCGATTCCACTTCCACCTACCTCATCTTCCACCCACCCTCCTTTTTTTATTTATCCCACCTCATTGTCCTCCCTCCTCATCTCAACCACAGTTTCAAGAAGAAGGATGAGGGCGGAGAAAAGGATGGGGACAGAGGTCGGGTGGATGAGGAAGGAGAAGGGAGGAGGGTGGAGGTGGAATGGGTGAGGAGGGAGAAGGGAGGAGAGTACTTTTGGTAGTTAGGGTAAAGTTCAATAGTACTTGACCTTAAGCGGTCCATTAAAAGAAACTTTGAAGGTGGTTCCTACTGATTTGGCCTACCTTAAATGCGGCTTCCATGAAAAAACCATCATAATAAGAAGGGGTAATATAGCAACAATCTCATATTATAGCTATCAATAGAGGATTCAGCTGGTCATAAACATTTACCACAGGGTATTTAATGAAGGAAAAAAAGGAGGAGAAAATGTTAGGACACTTCCAGATTTTCTCCTTCTAAGCGTGCTCTAAGAGTTCCTTCTAATCACAGATTCACATGTAGTTTGAGGGGGAGTTTGGGGATGGGGTGAGGGGTATACCTTAGATGGCCCCATCGTCGTAAGTTCTTGATCATGATACTCATGTCTAGGAGATGTTTGTGTTAAAACTTGAGAATCCCCACCTCAAACTGTCTGTTAGCGTACGGTTTGTTTGAAACACAAGTTTTAGAAATCGTTTAAATCTGAAATGGCTACTAGATGTGATTTTTTATTCTAAAGGAAACACAGTTTCTAGAATTAAGAATGATGTAGACATTTTTGTGCGATTAGAAAATATGAGATTAAGTTTGAAGAGCTCATCCTTCTTCAATAGGAAATTAGACGTCTGAGATGGGACACAATAATTATTTCAAATAGTTGCCCTAATTCAAGAATTGAGTTGAGATAGATCTAAAACATGGGAAGCAATCCCACCATTAAAATTTAAAGAAGTTTGGATAAGTACACCATTAATACCTCAGACCTATCAGAATAGATGCAACTTGGTGGGCTGAGATCGGATTTGACAACTTGTCAAAAAGCACAACCCAGTGAAGTTATTCATTCTTATATAAATGCAATTATACATTTCAGTTGAGCTTTAGTAAGGAATTTAGAGACTACTAGATCAGGCTTAGATTGAATTTATTCTAACTCCATAAGTCCAACTTGGTGCACTTGGAGCCCTGAGGATAAGATTTGGACAAATTGCAGAGTAGATAGTGCCTCATGATTTCAGAAAGGCATGTTTGAACTCGCACTAAATATTATAAGTTAATAGAACAACTTGCAGTTTAAACTTCATTTCATGAGATGGCTATATGATTTGCTATGCTTGCATTTCAAAATGTTGGGAGATTAAAAGACAACTTGCTGAAAAACTGAGCCCGCAGAACTGGGAATATTGATATTTATTAGCCTAAATACACTGAAAGGTAAGACAAAAAGGTTTAAGCATATATGCAAAGAAGTGAAACAAAGACACCCTTCAACAGGTGCGCTGTTACAATTGGAGTGACAAGATACATGAGTTGACTTTAATGAGCATGAATGAGGACAAGTAAAATAGGATATAAGAGATGACTAATCAGAACTATATAAAGAAAAAGGATTCAGCAAGCTCACACAAATTGTTTATGATAAAGGTATTTTTTAATAAAATCTCCTAGTATCAGCTGGAGGTGATCTTTGGTGTTATATAGACGTTAACGATCTAATTGATAGGTACACTTTTTCAAATGACAGGATGTGGTTTCTAGAAACATTGGAAGGAAGCTACATTGCATCAACTGTTCTAAAATGGTAAAAGTGAGTCAATGAATAAACTCAAGCTAATTCATTAATTAAACCACCGCTTCAAGCTCATTAAACGTAATCAATTCTTACAAGAGCTCAGGAAGAAAAGGATACTTAGGCAACATAATTCTAACTTTTAGGATAAGTTAGCATTGAGTTTTGTGTAACTATTTGCACAATTTAGATTGACAGAAAGCTGTTTTACATCCTTTTATTCTTATATCAATCTCTTATGTCATCTTCAAGTCTTATAGTCACAAAACTTGATTGAAGTCTTGTGGTATGGGCATGTGTCAGATGACGAAAGAATAAAATAAGACTTGCTGTTACAAAGTAGACTTCTTTTCTATGCCTAAGAACTATAGGAAATAATGATACCGAAGTAGACTTCTTATTCTGCTGTCAAACATTGACTTGATGTTACAAAGTAGACTTTTTTCTGTGTAAGATCTATAGGCAATAATGATATCATTTTGCGTGAATTGAAAAATAATTTGAATTGATGCATGTCCAGCGCCAGATAGGTCCATAATTAATATGACATCCTGAGTAGGTAGAAATAAGATGATAAGATAGGAACAAGTTCTTAGACAACATAACATTCATGTGAGCTGAAAAAACATGCACCTTTTCCAAACACCAACCACCCTGAACAAATAAACTCAGATAGATGGGCCTTCTTAAATCTGCTGAATAGATAAATGCACTTCCACCTGCAGAAAGAATGCCATGTTGCTTCTCCACCATATTTCCTTCAATTAACTTCTCCCATATGGCATACTCAGCTTCACAAGGAAGCTTATTTTCTAATTTGACAACAGAACTAATAGATATTTTCCAGTCAAAAATTGGAGCGTTCAACTCCGTGTGCAGAACCGATGCGTCAGTGCCTACACTGAGCCAAACATGCTGCTTAGCATCAGTAGTAGGATTGCAGTACATAAGCATATCTTTTTTTTCTAGCTGATTCAGCTTCAGAAGAGACTTTGGCAGCAAAATGTTTGTATTTTTTGTGGTAATTTTTCGAGAAGGTGTAGCCTTCTGATTATTTGTTTGGTCCTTGCATGAATCCAAACTAACAATCTGACTCCAAGTATATGGTTCCTGGGAACCTTCAGCATAAGGCCGAACTTGCAAACACAAGTCAGCTTCTTGAACCATACTCACCCAGGGCAGTACACCAGATGAATTGGGGTCTATAACAGCAACAATCTTCCTTTCATTTTCAATGTTCTCATCTGGGAGCTGTTGCCTAGTGCGTATCCAGCGCCTCCGGCGAACAAAATCTAGAGCTGATTTTGAAGAACACTTTGAAGAATTGGGAGGCCAAGTTAGATTTTTAAAATCAGCTCCATATGCCCAACCATCACTGTCTACAAACTGAGACCTCTCAATTTTCCAAGGAGATGTCCATTTCCATCCACGAGGGAGAGGGGGCTCAAAGAAATCCTACAAAATGTTGTTTGATGCATCAACATAAGCAGCTACATTCTATTAGATGTAGTTAAACTGAGAGAAAATTAACATTAGTTAGCTCTTACCTTTGATGAGTATGAGAAATCTCTTGTACTCCAATGTCCCGGATCATTACCCTGGAAACTAGATCCTCTACTTCCCCACCCTGAAATTGGTTGATAACGCTGGTTCTCAAATACTTCTTCCATCACTAGAGGAGTTGCGCTTCTTCCTTGATTCATGAGACTATGAGTATAGGCAGGGCAAACTGACACTTCGAGCTTAACATCAGCAAGATTCACAACAACTGCAAGAGCACGAAGAGTTGCGTGCTTCTTGCCATTTCTCATGACTACTTCAAAGGCAAAGGGTTTTCTGTCAAGCGATTTAGGAACAATTGATAGTGGGAGTGTTGAACCAAACTTTTCCCATGGCCCATCTGGTCGAAGTCCAATCCAGAAACCCACATCACCATCATCATTAACTGAACTCGCCATCCCCATCTGGGAATTCATATTGGCACTTCGTTCAAAGTATGAAGTAGACATTACCAACGTCCCACAAGTTTCCTTGGCATCATTGGCAATTTTCTGACCCTAGTACAATGAAAATTTTATTGTTGATTTAATCGCAATCACATACACATTCAACTTATAAATTGATTGTAGAATAGATTAAGGCACAGAAGTATAAAAACAAAATTTTACGTGTTTCTCCTCAAACAATGATTGTTCAGAATGAATGTATAAACATTTGTGGAACATATAGCAAAATCACCTTCTTCCTTAAAGGATACTGCGAAAATTCCTGAAAATTAGTTGCTGCTGCTTGTTGTAATACCCTTATTGATGTAGCCCGTTTTAGTGAATTAGCCCCACCACCAATAGGGATAGACAATGCACCTACCACTTCACCTAGACCATTAATGTTTAGAGTAAGTAAACAATAAGGAAGAGAATAAATCATACACTGAATATTAGTAGCTATTTGGTTTTAGAGAATCAAAATCACTGAATTAAAAAAGGACAATTTCCCAAATTAAGAATGCACTTACATTATTGATATAAAATAAGTCCATTAACATTATAAGCTACATGTAGGTCCATGAAAAAATACAGATGAAGATTCTATGTCAACACCCTGCTATAAAAAGTGGCCTGGAAGTCTGCCTAGGCGCTCGTTCACCAAGGAATAGGTGGTGCCCAGACTGCCCAAGTAAGGGCTTCAGGCACCTAAGATGGACATGCGTGTAATGTGTGGATCAAACCAGCTTCCAAAACTTTAATGCATTTATCTTGCCAAACAAAGTGTTCCTCATTTGATATCTCCAAGCCAGCCATACATATTAATAGCATTTTAACAACAATAGGAGGAAGACAACTACTCGTCATATAAAGGATGATTACAATAATCAAAATGCCTAAAAGAGGAATAGATGAGCAATTAGCATATACATTTGGCCTACTCATTCTCTAAAACATTTTAAAGATATGGGTCACGCCCTTGGCTGCGATAAGGTGAAATGACAATTGTAAAAAGCTACAAAAGTACCTAAAACAAATACTTTGTTGGCATTACTTAATCCAAATGCTTGACGTCATGGGTAGTGGACTAACACTGATATGAAATAGCATAAGTTTATGCTTTACTTTAAACCAGGAACATGCTCCCATTCTCTCATAACAACTTTACCAGCCCTAGGCAGCACAGTAATGGAGGCAACAATTGGACATATAATAACATTAAACATACCAAACCCCAGTTATTCATAACTTATTAAATGAAATGCCTCACATGTAACATGAACAGAAAACTAGATACGTAAACAACTGACACATTTACTCAAAAACCGTAAATAGATGCAACCATATGCCAGTATCACGCTTAGCTGCTTTCTAACCCTAACATTATGTGCTGTAGAAAAATTATCGGATAACCATATGCCACAATATAACACTATCTACAATAAAAAAATTGGCATATCAGAACATAAATTAGATCAGCAAAAATACAGAATGGCTATCTGATGAAGGTTCACCACAAATTCCATCATCTGTGGAGAACTAGATACATATACAACTGACACATAATCACTCCCAAACCCCAATTTTGATATAATTATATACCCCTGTAACTCTTAGCAAGATGCTTCCTAACCTGACATTGTGTCATAGAAGAAGGCATTGGATAACCATATACCATAATATGACACTATCTCCAACAGAAAAATTGGCATATATGAATATGGAATCATCGATTTAATATAACATGAGTAATGATATAGAATGGCTATGTAATGATCGATTATTTAAAAATTCCAGCATTAAGTTGCATATTTTTTTAACAACCAAAAAAGTAGTACATGTTGGTCAGTAGTCTGCTGAAATGAGCTAAACAAATGGGGAGCAAATTGGAGATTCAGATTTTACCTTTTCCAGCTCTTGAAGCAAGATTTGTAACCTCAACTTCCAAATTTGCTAGTCCCTGTGAGTAAACAACCATCAAAGTGAGGTGTAAATTTCAACATTTGAAGGCAGCTTCACGTTCAACAAAAATCGAAAGAAGAAATCTATTGCATATCCGAAAGTATTAACCAAAAACATGCTATAGGTGAACAAACATAACCTTTTATTACAAACACGAGATCAAGAATTTAGGGACGTTGGAAAAATCTAAATACATGCAAAATAAGATGAAAACAACAAAAACAAACAAATAATGGACAATCAAGGATAAAATAAAAATGCAAAACAGGAATTAATACAATGATTACTCAGTTTAAAGGATGAACGAAACAAATTAGATCATCACCTACAATTATTTATAATAAGAAAAGACCAGAAAATAACATGAAAATGAGTCTAATAAAACAAACTCCCCGGCTCAAAAGCTTGCCTGAAGTCAACAAGATTTTCTTCAATATATCTGATTTCAGAAAATGTGTTT